CCCGATTTGTGGGCTGTTTGCTCATCTCTTCAAGTAGGTATCTTGATCAGACTCCGAAATCAGGTTTGACATCACGACACAACATTCTGTTACTATACATTTGTGAAATAAATATGTGATCCCTTTGACGGGAGAGTGTCTGAGGCCCATTTGCTTATACACATACAGTACAGTGGTCTCAGCGATAACAGTCGTAACCGACGTGAGACCTCTGTTTCACGTAATTTACGTGTAGCCGAATCCAGACGAGGATCAGATTTGACTAGTGTAACTGGTGGTTTTACGAATGGCCGGATCATTTTAATCACATTCCAAACCTCACTGTTACACAGTAGGCCTAAAAGATTAGGTCTATTAACTACAGCGCTAATTAAGTAATTGCTTTGACTATTTTAGAATAGTAGTCTTCGCCTAAATTCTCGGTGCTCGGGAGCAAGGAAAATGCGGGATCTTAGGCGAACGTTATCTACGGTGGTCGGAGACCTATGTTAATGTCCACAACCGGCAAAATGGTCTCCCTCCACTCTAAAATGAACTGACGTGGCCCCTAGGTGGGTTTATGACATACGGTGAGCAAAGAATGGTCAACCTTGAGGACCAATCACCACTTATTATCTTATCGTGAGTCTCAACATCTACCCTTATCCAGATGCCCCTCCTCTTTACTTTACCATTCCAAAATCTATAGCTTTCCATCTCTGACCGAGTTCCCTGGCTTTTGTCGTTACGCGCCATTATGTTGTGACTACACCAATTAAAATTCCTATAAAAATTCGGGAATAGAGACAACTGCTGCAATGGTCAGGGAAAGAGTTCAATGTTCGATGTGATTCCGCCTGAAGCAAACTTGTAGTTAGGCTCTAACCACCCGGCGAGTATTATAAGTTTTGGTGGAGAGCTCCAGTGCGAGTGCGATGTTTAGGGGGCACAAACGCATCGGTCAGTTCACACTTCACACCTCGGTGGGACCCTGTCTGGCGCAAATATTGTACCGTTTCATCGGTTTTTACAACGCTTATTATGTGATCACATTCATAAGAGTGGCTGATCTTTGACGAGATGGGCAGTTAACTGATCTCAACTTTTCACTCTTGGTCAATCGGATGTGCTCGCCAGGGTTTTTGTTCAGTAAATTAATATCTGAAATGCGGGATCTTAGCCGAATGTAGACATTCAGAGTGAATCAGAGCGGGATCTTAGGGGTGACTTTTATATCATAAAAGTTCTGTTTTCTAAAAACAGCGGGATCTTAAGCGATCCGGGATCGTAAGCGGTGGGATTTTAGGTGGAGACAACTGTACATGTACTAACATAGCCTAGTAGCTATTGCCAAGGAAATTAATTTATTGCCCATTTTTATACCAGTGATATTTTTTCTCCTCATTTCGCCCCCCCCTCCCCCTTTACAAATACCTTTAATTTAATTCTTAGTTTCATGGGGTTTGGGTAGTATATGACAGGTGAAAATAAGAATTGATATAATATATATATATAATATATATTTATATATAATCCGAGCTGTTTAAGTACTTTTAAAAAGGTACTTAAGTACAAATTTAAGTACAATCTAAAAAATGTACTTGAGTACAGAAAAAGTACATCCTATAAAATGTACTTGAGTACAAGTACTTAAAAAAGTACTTATGAGTACATTTTGAGTGCTGCTAAAATGCTAAAACACTTCAGTGCTAATGCAAAATATCATAGTGAATAACAGATCCAGTATATCTGACAAATTAGGCCATTTATTACTAAAAATGTAAACAGTAAACAAAGCATTTGAATATACGCACTGAACGTAGGTGGAAATGGTCCATGAAAAAAACAACAACCCCAAACAAACAGACGCAACTAGTGAGTAAGTGATATTATGAACAGAACTTGCTTGAGCAAGACACTAGGATCAAATGCAAGTCAGTCCAAGAGGTCGGAAAGTTTTACAGGAAAAGTACATAATTGGAAAATGTAGAGACAAAGTTTCTCTGTTAAGAAAACATAACATTGATGAAAATGGCCAGCAAAGAAATGGAA